ATCTCTCAGTGGCAGCTGACTCTGGGCTTTTAAATATTCTCTTTCTTCTTGATCTAAGTGCAGCCTTTGATACCATTTCACATAACACCCCTCTAGAGAGACTAGTTTCCATTGGTATCACTGGCACCGCTCTTGACTGGTTTATATCATATCTCTCTGGCCACACTCACTTTGCTCAAATCAGAAATTTCCAATTCAACTCTTTTCCAGTCACTAGTGGTGTTCCTCAGGGCTCTGTCCTAGGTCCCCTTTTATTTATTATTTACCCTCTAACTCTTGGCCAAATCTTCAGACCACCCAATTCCCTTTCTGATTGCTTACTGGATATCAAACCTTGTCTCTCGTACAACTTCCTCAAACTTAGCAGTGATAAAACAGAGGTTCTCCTTGTAGGCACTAAATCTAAACCAAACCGTTTCTCTCTGACCACTGACAACTCCAAAGTCCTTCCACTCAGGTTAAGAGTCTGGGTGTCATCCCGGACAGCACATTGTCCTTTGAGGCCCACATCAGTAATGTTACTCAGTCTGCATACTTTCATCTACATGATATTAATTGTCTTCACCAGTCACTTACACCTCACAGTGCTACTATCCTCGTTCAATCTTTGGTTGCATCTTGTATTGATTATTGCAATTCTATTCTCTTTGGTCTTCCTCTCAAGTGTCTTCATAAACTCTAATTAGTCCAGAATTTAACCGCCCATATCATTACCACAACCCCCTCCACAGATCAAATCACTCCTGTTCTCCAGCAACTTCACTGGCTTCCTGTTAAATATCACTTTGATTTCAAGATTCTGCTTCTTACCTTTAAGGCCCTTCATAACCAAGCCCCTTCTTACCTGTCTGAACTCCTTCATATCTACACACCCTCCTCTTTGACTTTTAGATCCTCTAGATCACCATCTGCCTGCTTAACTACCGTGGGTTCTAGAGCCTTCAGCCATTCCGCCCCCGCCTTTTGAACTCCCTCCCCCATGACATTCGCAATATTGACTCCCTTTGCACCTTCAAATCCCGTCTGAAAACACACCTTTTCAAGCTGGTGTATTCGGACTGATTTAAAGGTGACACACATATTGAGACAGACAGACAGACAGACAGACAGACTGACAGACTGACATCACCATCCATATAGCCACAGTGCCAATGTGGCTATGAAAAAAAATGTGGGAAAGAGCTTCACTATGTAAAGTACATGAGAAACTGTGTGAGGCTGGGTTTAGATTAAAATGTACACTTCCTACAGTTTGTTGTTCAACAATAACCACAGAGCTGTATGTCACATCCACATCACTCTGACCTGTGGCCCAAACAATTTTCATACAGTCCCTTACCTGGGCTGGAGTTTTTCTCTTTTTCTTAACACTATACATTACTTCCTCTTTGGCCTGTATTAAAAGAGCAGAGGACAACATGAATAAGTATGAGCCAATAATTATTATCAAACCTATTACTGTATTTGTGCTCAATTAAGTTTCTATATGTCAAGGCTTACTCTATTCTCCAACAAAAAATACACAAGAGTGATATTAATTTTCAAGATGTACTTTAAAAACGAAGCAGCATATCTTATATTCGCTGTGGCCGATGATTCTTCTTTGCTCTGCTCTAAAAGTGAATGAAACCTCCCATCAGTGCTCAATGACAACAATGAACAATAGTCTATATTATGGTAAAATGTGTATGAATAAAAAACAGTTCCAGCATGAACTGGATTTATCGAAAAACAGCGTAGACTTATTGTGTCTTTTGAGCAAAAACAAGATGAACAAAGTCACCATTACAGCGAAGATCAGCACGCTCAGACGGATACCGTGAATCTTTGAGTGATCAGGAGGACTGAAACAAAACAGAGGTCTTATTCCAGCAGTCCTACATTATAGTCTAAAATTGATTCATCATCCTGGTCATATCCTGCACTAGTTTTACCAAGTCCTTTAAGTTAATGCCTCTTACAGTAGAACATATCTAATAATATCAGTAAAAACACATGTAGATATTCCCATAAGGACCGTTTCCTAGATCACAAAATGGCCACATTTCTCTATTGTAATATTTATGCAAAGGCTGCTGACCTTGAGTGTCCACTTTGAGCTGTGGGTGACAAAAAAATAGCACCATGATAACGACTTTATTATGACAATTATTAATGCTAATATAACTTACATTTAGAGAATGTTGTACTTGACAAGTAATTCAAGATTAAAATTAATCACAGTACTTACTGGTTGTTGGTTGCTTATCGACAGTTACATGTACTGGCATCTGCAGGTCTCCACTGACACACAAATACCAGCCGCTGCTCTGTGCGCTCAGTCCACTCATAGTCACATTGAAAACATTGGAGACCCTCCTAATGATGGTCACTGTTGTTTCATCTATTGATCCAGATGTCATCGTCACACAGGAGCCACCCAGCCTGCACCACTTGAATTCTCCAGAGTTATGATAGTAACAACTGATGGTTATGTTACCTCCTTTAAATCCTGTAATCTCCTGACGATCCACATATAGAGTGGGTGTGCCTTAAAGGAAAACAAATTCAATAGAGAATTGTGGGTAACCTGACAACAATCAGCCTCCAAAGCAAACAATGAAATTCTGCTTCGATATTTTTTTCCCCACCTAAATGTTGTGATGTCACAAAGAATTTAATATGTGCATAAAGATGCTTTGAGGGCTCTTACCTCTGGTGACTGACAGCTGAAAATACTCTCTGACATCAGGCCCTCCATCTATCTCCACAGCACACCAGTAATCAGTGTCCTTATATGTCACATCTTTAATTGTCACAGTGAAGATTCTTCGGCTTTTGTCATCAGAGATTGAAAACTTTCCAGAATTTCGTTGGTTTGTTTTAACTACATAAGAGCAGTGATTCCAATAAAATCCTTTACACAAACCTTTCACATGGTTTATGTATCGTTTGTCGTACAGACATGGGATAATGACTGAGGCTCCAGCCTTCACTGA